ACAGGAAAAAACGAACATTTTAATTACATTTCATTTCAAAGTAAAATGTTTAAAATGTTGTAATGCACCATGCCAAAAAGCAAAACATCTTTCAAACCTAACAAGCTGTTAGAACACTATCGTTAAGTGCTAGTTTGTCCCTTTGCTTATTATTCTCTTAACAAAAATAAAACAGAAATCATATGACCAAATTTGCATGAGAATACATTTCCAGAATAATCTTGTAAGGGCACTTTAAACACTTTCAGAAAACAGTTAGGAGAGCGAAAAGTCCATACAGTAAGGCACAAGGATAGGCAATGAGAAGCTGCTGTCCTTCCATGGTCAAGGCCGAAATGAAGATTTTAGAAGCAGAGAGGCTACACCAGCTAATGATGGCAAGTGCTGACACAGTTCCAATGATTCCCCTATTGCAAAGACAAAAGAGAGGATCACTTTACATCAAGAGAAAATAAGACGTTATGTTAGAAATGCCTCTGAAATATTCTTAGTACAATATTTATAAAGCATTCTCCATTTGTAAAAGGGGAGTGATGAACCAAATGAACTCAAAGTCTTCTGCTGGTTAGAAAAGTTCTGAGTCAAATTCACTATCTGGCTATATAAACATTTTAAACTTCAATAAAACTTCATTTAGAAATAGAAGAACTCATTTGCAACCCTTCTCATCTGTCAACATTCAAATCCTAACTCCTACAATTCTCTTATATAAACAATATTTAGAGGTTTCTCATATAGCTACATATGTCCTTTCCACTACTTTTTTTATCCTAAATTGACTCATAAAATGAGGAGAAAGTTTAATGGACTTACATTCCAATAGGGTGACTTATTTCCCTCTATTCCTGGGTCCACATCTCAAGGTTTTATCTTGAATAGTAAAGCCCAGTGTAGCTCAAGTATGTGTATGCCTCACCCTCATCTGTGAATTTCTTATTTTATAAGTGTGTATTTTTCAGAATATTAGAATAAATTTGTTTAAAAATAGTATCTTCAAAAGGTAACTGAGGCAGCAATTGGTTCTTTCAGAACAAATGAATAAATCAGGTCGTTAACCTTAGTCACCTTGGGAGAAAATTGAGATTGGGTGATGGTAAAAAGTGAATTTCCTTCCTATGTGCACTACAAAATGCATTATTTAGAAAAAATAAAAAATAAGAACTAGGAAAAACTTCAGAAGGCCATCTAGTCTCCTCTTCAAAGCAATGAAGTGATTAGGGAAAAATCACATACTAAAGCAGAAATTAGGTCAAATTTTTCTATCATCTAGCACATTACTCTTTCAACCATCAAACCGTGCTGCCTTGCTTGATCTTGTGTTGAATCTGAAGTTGAAAAATGTGTTTACTGTTTACACATAAGAATGAGAGATATGTCTACTTTTAATTATATGGTGAATTAGAATGAAATAGTAATATGCTCAAAAAAAGA